GGACTGGAGGTTCCATTTGACCCAGCCATCCCTCTGTTGGGTATCTTTCCAAGAGAACTAAAAGAATCATATCACAGAGAAGTATGTGCACCCATGTTTATAGCGGCACAGTTTGTAATAGCTAAATCTTGGAAACAACCTATTTGCCCATCCGTTGGAAACTGGATAAAGAAGTTGTGGTTTTTCTATAAAATGGAATATTACTCAGCCATAAAGAGCGAGAGAATAGATTCATTCATAGGAAAATGGATACATATTGAAGATATACTCCTAAGTGAAATAAATAAGTCCCACATGTGTAAATACCAAATAGTTTCCCTGGTGTGAATATTCTGCAACAATGCATAAGATTCTAATAAGATTACTGACATTTAGAAATGGGAGGAAAGGAGCTAAAGGTGTAGGGAAGGTGTGATACGTAGGGGAAGAACAAAAAGGGAAAAGAAAAAAATGTGAGAGAATGAAAAGATGAAAATAAAGTGTTTGTAGATGGGGAGGGGAGGAGGGGGTGAAGGGAGGGCAGAGGTAAGGGGAAAAAATGAGAATCAAGACTTGCCATGTAAAGGTACATGATCCCAACAATGAATGTAACTGTACTCTATCCCTAAATGTACCAATAAACTCAAAAAAAAAAAAAATAAAAAAATAAAGTATCCATCAGGGCGTACATAGGCTATGTGCACACACGGGGCCATTTTATACAAGGGACTTGAACAACCATGCCTTTGGTACCCTTGGGGAGCCTCGGAACAAAACCCCAGAGACACCCAGGGAGGACTGGATACAAATGCACATATTTTTAAACATTCATTTGAATCATGTTATTGTTTCAAATTTGCTTTATTGCTTATAATTAACCTAGCTATTCTTTGTTTGTTTGTTTTTTGGTTTTTTGAGACAGAACCTCACTGGGTAGTTGAGACTAACCTGGAACTCACTATGTAGCCCAGTATGGTCTCGAACTCACAGTGATCCTCCTGCCTCAGCCTCCCAAGTGCTGAGATTACAGGCGTATGCCACCACGCTCAGCCCTAGCTATTCTTTATAAATTTACTGCATTCATTAAGGATTTACAGGAGGAATATCACATAATTTCTTTTAAAAATGTAAAATATACAAAGAATAGATTATAAGATTCTTTCTTGAGGGGCGAGAATCATAGGCCCGAAGAATTTTCCTGAGCCTCTTTAAGAGGTTCTTCATCATGCTAGGTGGAATGTGTAGTAGGAAAGATCCTTAATACTATATATAAATATTATATATATATTTCATATGTACATATTCTGTATATATACCAAAGAACTGAATGAAAAATTGAATAGAGAGTCTATGTGCACATCAAATCATATCTAAAAATAAGAGTATATCATTGAGACCTTAGGATAAAATGTAATTCTTGGATGATAAGGGAGAGTGATTCTCATGGGAGAGTTCTCTGAGAAGCAAAAAAGAAGGGCTCATGGCATCTGGGAATGGGCCAAATTAGAAAGAGGAAAGGAGGTGCCTGCCAGAGTTCCTCGTGAAGTTACCCCAGAGGGGCCTCCAAGGGAGGAATTAGATGAGATCTTGAATCACACCCTCGGGGGACTCCTAGTGATGGCAGGATATGGGTACTTGGGATATGAGTTAGCGCCCAAGGTAGAATGTGAGACTTGTCTTGATCAAACTGTAGCCAAAGCAGTCTGAGTTATGAAACAGCACACATCTGAGAGCCTGCAGGCAGGACAGGTGGCTTTGAACATGCAGATGGGTGGCTGAGACTATGTTGACTACAGCAGGACTGCCTAGATGACGATCACGGCTCTGGTTCGTGCCAATTATAGCCTCGGGGAAATTGTTTGACTTCTCCCCGATCTCAGCTCACCAATGGAAAAATGTAGATAAAAATATTATCACCTTGTAGGGTTGTTAGGGCAAATACATTCCTATGAAAAGCACTTAGAGCTTCACACATAAGAAGCATTATTTAGATGTTCGCTATTTTTATTGGTTTTTAATATATTTAATGCTGGGTGTTTAAATTGTATTTTCTGGTATGTAAACAGTGTTTCCCATTCATATATACTTAGAAGTGGGAAGTGGGAAAGTCCCTGTTTTACTTGGGAGATAGTCATGTAACTAACCGATATAATTAGTGAAGGTGACATACAGCAACAAGTAGAGCACAAACGATGTCACAGTTTGGCTAGAAATACTACAGCTTGGCTACCAAACTGTTGAATTGTGGAAGAAACATATTAGTGAGTACTGGAATAATCAGAGCTTTCATGGATGAGAAACTAGTGGTCCAAGGTATCAGGGGCATGTATGATCACAAGTTAGATCAGACCTCCCCACACCTCACCTCCAGAAATGTTATGTTTCTATATATAAACTGAATAGAAAAAGCAGGAATCGATGCACTTTAAGAAACTATGTACCTAGGAAAAGGACTGTTGTGGGAATAAAAGAGGGGGGCGGATAGCCCTTGACAAAGATGGGATTATAAGGCTTAGGTAGGACATGGCCAGTGAAGAAACATTATTCAGCAGAGGCACGATGCCTTTTAGCTTACATGACTAAGTGCCTTTTAAGACTACAATGGAGACTACATCCTTTCTCCAGACATGTTCTGCACAAGGTTGTAGAAGGGTGTGTAACACACTGCATAATCTCTGTAAGTGTGAGCGTATATAGCCTGGCAGAAGTTTGCAAGCAGAATGACAAGGTGTAGCTCTGGGCCAGGAGGTGAGTGTCTTAGATCTACTTTCCTAGCTCCTTCAAGTTCTCTCCAGTGGGAAGGAGAGTTGAGTCACCCTGGGAAAGCTCTCTTTACAGAACTGGGTGTGTCAGAGGAAGCAGCCGGACAGCTCTTAAAGCAGGTTTATACTTTTTCTTTGGCCAAAATCTGAAAGCCCCCACCCCAGGGGGAGAGCTAGAAAGAGCTATTTTCATCTAATCTATATACCGTTTTTTCTTGTTTGTTAAGTGGTAGGAGGGACTATTTAGTCAACTTCAGGACTATAATTGTGTAAACAGTGGCTCTTCTCAAACACACGTCCTGCAGCCCAGCGGTGTGTTTCCTTCTTTATCTTCTCTCATCCTTTCCATAGGACTCTGTCTCCCCACCCTGTCTCGCTGACACAGCTGTCCTTGTGCCTGTCACACCACAGTCTATTTTCAGGAAGGGAGTCCTGAGGGACTCGTTTTGGTGCCAGGTGAACCCACTGACACTGGATGGGATTCACCTGAGCAGGTGTGGGCGGCTGCAGTGAAAGGGACAGGTCCCTATGGATGAGTTCCCTGAAGCCACCTTGGACCCCAGTGACACCCAGACTCTGTGATGAAGTCCTGCTAATTTTCTGAGGCCAGGTTGGGAGCCTTTCCCTGGATTTTCTCACATCAGTCTCCCATCCCCATTAACTGGGATTACATGAAATTTCCTGATTCTGGAAATGCAGGGTCTAAAATACCTACCTAAGTACTCAAGCCGATGTCTTTGGCCTTGGGCAGTTGTCAATTAATATTAGTGACTTTGTTAGTGGATATAAACACATATATCATCTACAGGTAGTTATACTATTAAAGGACACTTCAAGATTGAAAAATAAAAATAAAGCTGTCCAGTTCTCCCTACTGAATCTCCAATGGTAGAATTTTAAGAAAGACTAAATAGGTAACAGGAGACTTTTTTTAAACGGAGGCTCTCCTGGTATTCCTTAACCAAACCATACAGTTTCCAGTATTGACTACTGTAAAAATCTTGGACCAGAGAGAGCAGAAGATTTGAATCTTAGCCTTAGCTCTTCATCTTGCTTCATCTGTTAATTGTGCACCTGAACATTCATTCACTGGATCTCAGTTTTGTCATTTGACTATTTATTGTCAGAATCAATGAAGTATAAGAGCTCTTCCAGCCCTAGTCACCAGTGATTCTGTTATTTCCTTCTATTCAACCACAAGTGAATTCTGTCCAGGGAGGTTCCGGGAACAGAAGACTGTGAGATAATTGAAATTCTTCCAGTACATATGACTTCCTCATGAAGCTTCCCTACACCCTCGGAATGGGAACGGTTCCCCACTGAACAGTCTAGAAGGGGGAGAAAAAAATGATGCATCTTGTAAAGAAAGGTACAAGATCCCAATGACGAATGTAACTCTACCATATATCTAAAAAGTACCAATAATCTTAATGAAAAAAAGAAAAAGAGTAAAACCTAGCACATATAACTATTGTTTTACTCAAATGCAGTCACTCCCTTAAAAATAATACAAACTCTGTTTATAAATGTGTGGATGAAAATACTAAAAAGATTAAAAAATAGACTCTGTTAAGATTCACTATTAAGAAGTTATAGGAAAAAGAAACAGCCATTTTTCTCTACTTAAACTGCTTACTAGGATAATTACAGCTGACTTTAATTGAATATTTAGAATAGGGAAGGAATTATGCTATTCATTTAATGTGAAAATTCAAAATTATATTATAACATGTACTGCCCTTTGGAAAATGATTTGGGTTCTAATTTATATTCACTGTATTTTACCTAGACTTTTATCATGATGTACACTAGTGTTTTGCCAGACTTGCTTAATAAAAAATAGATTAGAAATAGAAGACAGTCACAGATCTTTGACCAAATATTCCTGTATTTGTATTGTCTTACAGATGAAAGTAGTGAGTCCATTTCTCATCATAAATCTCTTTTCCCAAATTGTTTTTCTGGACACAGTTCAAGTAGAACAACCAATTTATTTATGTCAGCTCTTGCTCTTTTCATTGACCTTTTATTGAGCAATCTGTTAGACGAAGGGACCGGTTAGCAAGCAACAGCACGCCACAGAAACACCAACTAAGGCTTCCGCCAGACAGGCACCCCGCTCAGTTTCCATCCTTTGGAACTGGGGACGCAAACTGGTCTCAGGAGTGGCAGCTTCACACCAGTGACTGGCCAAACCCAAATCACCTCAGATGTGGCACACATGTCTACGCGCACGCACACGTTCTCAGCTCATCTTACTTGGTAAAATGACTTGTTGCTTCCAGGTCTGTGTCTTGTGGGCGAAGGTTGTTATACACGTATTTCAGGTCTTGGATTCCACGTAGCTCAGGCAATCCTGCGTGTAGCATCTTCACGCCAACAAAATCCAAAAGCAGAGAGGAAATAGAGTAAATCTGGGTAAAATCAAACTTATTTGGTTCATTCTACTGATAGACACACTAGCAGAGGTTTGCATAGTGATATCTTTCAGTTTGTATTTGTGAATGAAAGTAAGTTTATGCTTTTTAATCTCCCTATTTTGCGGTGGAAGGAACAACAGCAATGAAAAGAACCATGGTAATTAGAAAAATGCTTGTTGATAATTTGATTTTATTCTCATGACAAACCAGTGAAGTAAGCATGATTATATTATCCTCTTGTCAGAATTTCTGACCCCACCATTTAAAATCCAAGTGATCATAAGAAAGTCTCAATCTCTTTGTGCTTCTGTTTTCTCAAGTCTAAAGCAATATAAAATCACCCAAAATGTTCTAGGAGAATCAAATGGTTAATGAATGAGAAGGACCTTTATGTTTTAAAAATATTACAAAAACTGAGTGTGAAATATTACAAAAAATATTACAAAACCGGGTGTGGAACACTCTTGTAATCCCAGAACCCTGGGAGGCAGAGGCAGGAGGACTGTATGTTCAAGCCCAGCTTGGGCAATTCAGCAACTTAGTGAGACCCTATCTCAAATCAAGAAAATGTTGGGGATGTAGCTCAGTGAGAGGGCACTAGGTTCAGTCTCTAGTAGCACCAAAAATATTTATTTATTAATATCCACTCTGAAGAAGACAGACTTAATCTCCAGAAAACCAAGGGATGTGTCCAGGGCAAATGATGAGTAAGAACAGAGTACAAAACTCACCCTTCTCTTCTTAATCCTATCTTCTTTCAGGACTCTGTGACTCACACTTCAAGAACACAATTTTCCCTAGTTAAGTGGTAACTATATTTGCTAAAGATTATTAAAGAAGTGAAATAATTTAGACAAAGTTATGCAGGTATTTTTTTTTTTTTGCTGATCTTGAGAAAGATACTGTGGTTATAATGCACCATAGATCAAAGGAAGATTACTCTCTTTAGTTGTACATAAATTTTTATTGAGTAAAATAGTTTCAAAACAAATTTGAACCTTGCCAAGCAGAAAAACACGAAAATAAGAACGAAGAGGGGAAAATGGAAAAAGAGGAAAAGGAGGAGAAAGAGGAGAAGAGAAAGATGAAGCAGTAGGAGAGGAGAAGAAAAAGAAGATCAATACCTTTATGACTAAAATGATCACTATTTCTTGTGGTGGAGCAGATACTCTTCAGTGATAAATTAATTATGGTTGTGAAGCTGTAATTGATTCAGTGGAGTTCAAATAAGAAACAAAGAAGGTTTTGAAGCTACTCTCCTTCTCCCTGTCCTCACCCAGGACAGGGGAACGTACAGTAGAGCCTAAGTAAGATATCTGTAGTGTGATCATAGAAAGAGACCCAGGAAGGGCTTTCTGGAGAGCTGAGCGCCAAGAGATGGGGATGAAAAGGCACTCAGGGTCAGATATTTTAGCAATCAGAAATACTTTTGACCATGTTCTACAGGCAAGGCAGAGCTCTTCAAGTGTTTAACTCGTCCTTTAGGAAGGATCATTATGGGTATGTATGAAAAATGGATTAAAGAAGGGCCACATAAGAGGCTGGACTAGGAAATGGTTTATGAATACAAACACTGCAGGATTTTAATTATATGCAGGAAGGAGACTTGAGACAGCTGAGTGATGGGTTGGATATGGGAGAAGTGAATGGAGTCCAAAGCACACAGCTGCACAGACAGCTGGGGTCACTAGCGTGTAGATGATGACTGAAGCCGAGGAACTGGGTCACTGGTCCTGGAGGCTCAGCTTTTCTCATGGACAATCCACGGGCATCTCATACTCACAGTATCCAATTTTGCACTCATTCTCTTTTGCTATAAACCTTTCCTCCTTTTCCCTGTTTCACACCTCAGTCTACAAGGCCACCACTGTCCAACTAATAAATTCATACTTTCTTTGATTCTTTTTCCTGATTCCCATTGTCAATCCTTTAATTCTACTAAAAACATCTCGACAGGCCCTTATTCACTTACCTTTTGCAATTGTAATCGTCATTGGCCTACTTGGGCTCTTCATCTCCATTTGCCTAGATTTTGTTGGATAAATTATTTTGTCTAGTCTCTAACTCTAACATGGTAATCCTTGAATTATTTTTCTAAAGTTATGATGACACTCTTCACCATAAACAAACACACACGATCCACATTCTGGTCAGGAACGTCTTTCATAGCTGTCACTTGTCACTTCAACCATATCTTCTACAGAGGTCTCCATCTGTACAACAGACTGGGTACCCTTGATTACTTCAATTGCCAACACATGCCATGCTTATGACCTTCAAACCACCAGACACACTTATATTTTTCTCCCAGCCAGAAATACCTATCCCCTCCCTCTGTTTCTGCTTGAAAAATTCTTTTGAGGCTCAGTTTAATATCTTCCCCTTTGAAGTATCGCTTACCCTCTTGATGAGATTTAGTTATTGCTTTCACTGTTTAACAATCATGTCTTCATTCTACTTCCTCCACAGTACTATTTTTAGCTTTTTACTGTGTTTTGCTCACATTTTTCACATTAGACTTAAGTTCTTTAAGAACAGGGATTGATTAATTGAGTCTGTACCTGGTTCTTTGAGAACACTGAACTGTTTAATTCCATGTTAAACTGTCCGTATCACCTAGCACATTGCTTTGTAAATAGTTGGAACTTAATGATTGTCTGGAATAATGAATGGCTGGATAAATGAATAAATGAATGAAATAAAAAGTACCTGGCACTATTAGGCTGTGAAAACTTACTACTAGCAAACTCAATAGTGACTCCTAAATTTAACAGAATCAACCCTACAGAGACACATTCCCAGTGGAAATTAGAGTCTAGGTTAACTTTTATCATCTCTGTACTTAGAGTTCTGGAGATATCTTTGTTTTTATTGAGATAAATTTCTTTTTTTTTAATCACACAAACAGTTTGCATTTATTAAAAACAGACTTCTTTAGTGTCTGAATTGCATTCTAGTTTCTCTGGGTTTCCCTGAATTAACAACTTCTTGGTCAGGACTTTATCAAATATTTCCTTGGGAAGAAGACACTATAAACAAAAAAAACTGGTTCTTCCTCTGCCAGCACACACACACACACACACACACACACACACACACACACACCCCATCAGCTGTCAAATGCATTCACACAATAAGGATGGGCTCATAACTGGACCCACTTAATTGTGTGTTTCCTGAACCACAGCAATCTGAGAATCAAATGCCTCCTAGTCTAGGCCTTATGGGTCATAACTAATTAGGGCAGTGGGGAAGGAATTGCAGCTAGAACAAGTAGGTAATGAACAGAGACAGATAAAGAGTAAGCAAGCTCTCTCTCTTTTTTTATGAACAGGAGCATTTTTAGAGTTTCTATGTGTGCTCTCCTCCTCCCACTAAGTCCAGATCTGTTTTAATAGTTATGCTTAGGGAAGCAGACATTTTTCCTCACCACACAGACAAGTTAGAAGTTTTCTTCTGGGAAATATCTGATATTATAATGGGTGTGATAAACATTTTAAACCAAGTGAATGGTCCTTGAGTTCTTTGTGAGTGTTCTATAATAATTGATATTGATTTTCTAATGAGAGAAAAGCTGATGAAATGTAGGTTTTTATGTTAGTGAACCCAGCCAGCAACACTCTTGGGTCTCCTACAGATGTTGCTTTTAAGTAGGATGGGAATTTCATAGATTATTTTTTGCTTCTCCCAAGAGGAAAGAAAAACACTGCAGATATCTAGAAACATGCTGTTCTTTGTTGAGGATGAGCCATTAACTCTGTAGTAAGCTCACAAATACTTTTGGCTCATAATCCTGGGTACTGACCATCTTTAGAAGACAGAATTTATGACCCATGTTAAGCATTTCTCAAGTTGTAACTAGGTCATGGTGCAGCAGATGGAATGGTTTTTAAAGAGTATAACAAAACAAGTTTCATCTGAGGGAGAATCAAAAGAAAGATAGGCTATATAAATAAGTAGAAAAAAATCTTTTGCAAATATTAACTTTGTTTTAATTTTATATGAAACTTTCCCAGAGAATATGTGGTCTTGCAACTTTCATTGAACGGCTTATCTACAGATAAGATATTTACTTGAGCAAAAGGAAAGAACTGAGGGATAAATGACCAGAAACTGAAGGACTAGCACAGTGCTATTTCACATATGGTTCAGGGTATAACCATCCCATGAGGCTTCTAGTGTCTACTGTAATTTTGTGAACATCTAAATCTAAGATTTGATGCCTAATCTGAGTTAATATCATCTGCTGCCATGTTTTTCCTTTAGCCTAGAAATTGGGATTTGATTTAATTACAACATAGATTTTTTTTGATATATGATACACTAGATGCTTTTAGCAGCTGGTTTTAATTTATGAGATTCTTATTTATGAGAAATTGATTTTTATTTATGAGAAATTATTTTAATAGCTGTGACCAAAATATCATATATCGGTGTCTTCTAAATGAAATAACATTACACAAACTAATGAGTGTGTGATTTAATAACTCATCTGCTGTGTCTTTGTAGAAAAGTTTATTAAATGAGAGAAAAAGCCTACTAATAGTTTCTGAATCTATTTTGTTTTAGAAGTTATCTTTCATATTTTCTTAACATGCTCACTTAACATCCAGCATAATTTTAATGTCACCTGAGCAACATCTTAAGGTATACTTGTTTTTCTGCTTCAGAACCATGATGGTTGAAGAAAGTTGTATAATTTGGAATTACTCCTTTCAGGTAGTTATTTATAGCATTTATAGACATTTTAGAAATGCTGCAATACCTCACTTACTTGTGTGCACAGTTGTATCTTCCTTATTAAACTGAACATTTTAAGAGCTCTGGGTCTTACACATTAATGTTTCATTTACATTTTTATGGCCTATAGTAAGCACACATGAACGCATAGATTCATGAGGCAGATCTTATTGGAGATTAAACATTATCAACATTAGATATAAACATGTATCAGCACTAGAGTTGATGCTGTCTGCATATTTATTATATGTATAAATGGGTTCTTGTTCATGGACTTAGTCTTTGTAGAGTTTCCTTTGTGGCAAGGTTGCAGCTTGTTATAAGCTCCAAACCATCCTACAGTCAAAATGTGATCTAGTAGGAGTAGGGGCAGAACGCAGATCTAGTGAGAGACTCATTGGCTATTACTGTAAGACAGCTTGAAGAGTCTGGATGTAGTCAGAACCTTATCTATCCAGTTTACACAAAAAGAACCCAAAGTGTCTTTCTGTATGGGGGCCATGTACGCAATATTTTTAGAAATCTTTGTTTCCAAAGCAGAGAGGAGATGTGGATATGTTGTTCTGAAAGTTAAAACAGAATCCAAATCACATCTACACTGTAACAAAGTCGCATTAATTCAGCATTACCAAGTGGAGATTTTCCATCTATGCTGTCCAGTATGATGTCATTAGCTATGTGTGTAGCTCTACCGAGGCCTTGAAAAGTGAAAATGTACATTAACAAACATTTAGTATAATAACATCAACTAATCGAAACCTACTATATGCCAGGTACTATTCTAAGTGCTTTACATTATTTATTAATCAGGGCTATGCTAGAATGAACTTTCATCAATACCTATAAACCACTCAGCACACAGTGCCTGTGCAATGTAAAACATTCATTATTAGATCCTTTATTCATATGCTGTACAAGCAGCTGTTCATTTATTTGTAGAAAAGCCTTCTCAGGGTTACGTAACATCCCTCTAGGAATGTAACTAGTGAAGTGCCAAATTAGAAATGTCTACATTTAGTGGTGTAAATCAGACTTATTGATAATTTGATCCTATGTATTCTGTTGACCAATAAATGAAGTTCAGTGTTCCATCCCATGATTTAGTCCAAAGAGAAAAACAGATATATGGGGGAGAGGGGCAGAATTTGATAGAAATGTCTTCTGGGAGAAGGGTGTGCACAGAGACACACATTAATGCAATTAGTGCAATGCATAAGAGAGAAAAGCATCAGTGGTTCATTACTATGGAGTTTGGGACTTTAAGGTGACCAGAATTCTAGATGTTCTTTTCTAGGCACAGCTTTAGGGCATTTCACTAGTTTAATTGCTAGCATCACTTTACATTTCTGACTCTCAGTTTCTTGACCTGAAAAACAAGCAAGTGGTTGAAGATGGAGATCAAGACAGGGAGATGGGAAAAAAATCCTTGTTTGATTTACCTCACTTGGGACACCATGAATGGGTGAGATGATATTTTAAAGGCATTTTAAAAAACTCCTAATGCACAATACAACTAAAATCATTATATTTTAAGCTATTGTCCTTGAACCTCATTCAAGATATACTGGGATAACCTTTGAATGCATCAATATTGTCACTAGGAGTGCTTCAGACAATAACTATGAGTAACATACTGAATTATGAAGAAGTGTTTTTATAAGCTGCACCTTGGTCCTCTTAATTTCTTCATTTCTTTCCATTTTGAATAGCTCTTTGGGGAACTCCAAGTCATTAGCAAAAAATAGACTACTGAAAGAGACACATGAATGAAGCTTATTATGTCTGTTATTTCCCTAAGGGACTTACCATTTCTAGAAGGTTTAAGAGCAGTCGGCTGTGCTTTCTGACAATATTATATGCTCTACAGCAAAGCTCCACAAAATCTTGAAAGTGTTGTGGGTTTTTCCCACCCTCTGTAATAAAGTACTCCATCTCTGAGGTAAAAATGAAAGGGGCTCTGTCCCTATAGACCAAAAACAATAGCAATCATAAGAAGAGAAATGGTTTGTAGGGTTAAATCATACAATTTATTTACACTTTTTCTTGTTATTTTCTCTCTAGCCTAGTGGAGGAGTCTCCTTCATTGTGAGACACCTGGAGAAATTTGTATTGAGGGCTTTCAGTTACTGGGCTGAACCAGAGAGGAAAAAAATAAATCATGTTACCATTTCAACTTGTACTGTTTTATTCTTTATTTTTTATTTTTTTGGGTACCGGGAATCGAACTCTGGTCCTTGTGCTTGCAAGGCAGGCAGCTGAACCACTAAGCTAAATCCCTGGCTCCCTGTACTGCTTTAAATGTTTATTTCCAAATTACATTTGGATGGGAATATCATTTATTAAAAATATGGAGTCCATTTAATAACAAAGGTGTCATCTATGTGAAGTCTTTATGGAAAGTAAAGGATGAGACAGACTGTGACTTTGATCTTAAAGTTTTGCTTTGTTCTGTTTTTTTTTTTTTTTTTTTTTTTTTTTTTTTTTTTTTTTTTTTTCCTATTTCCCCTTAGAAGATAGGCTGATCCTTCAGGAAAAAGTTTGAGTAAAAGCTAAGATACTGTAATGACAAGTTCTTCCAGAAGGAAATTTGGAAAAAAAAACCCAAAACAAAACAAAAACAACTAGATGTTTCCAATTCATTGTCATATGCTTAGTAAAGGGAAAAAAGATAGCTGTATTTCATTTTACCCTATACCCAGTAAACGTGCTGATCGGCTAGGAAGAACATGAGCAGACTGGGTTATTACATGAGTAATATCGCCCCCTGCAGTCTCAAAGGTGGAAAAACAGGGAAATAAAGGACTCCGAGAAGGTGGCCCATTTTCCTGACTTTGTACGGCTTTTCTTGTGTCATTTGAAATGTGGAGAAGCCCAAGGTGAAGTTTCAGCCCTTGTGACAAACACCAGCAGAGGGAGACAGGGAAACACCTCTCTTTGATGAAGTCTCATTCGTTGAACAAAACCGATAATGAAAGATTTGGACACCATCTTACCCTAACGTCTTCCAGAAGCATTTGAGACACGAATAACAGTTGTGGCTAAAAAATTATTACGCATAAAAGAAAAGATTTTTTTTTTGAATGGACGGAGATAAAACATGTTTCAAATTTGAACCGAAGTAACGTTAAATCAAATCACAATAGAAAAACATCATGCATTACTGAGGATGCCTTTTTATTTTTTTAATGGAGAACAGTGTTTTCTCTTACTGCCATGCTCAGCTATTTCAATAAAAGTGCAATAGAATGGGAAACTTCACTCACCCTGCGCAGCCAGTTCTTTCGGAAGAGCGGTTAATTCAAGGGAGAAAGCTACAACAGCATTTCGCGGCAAATGTGTACAAGGTGAAGACACAGCACACATCAAGAAAACAAAACAAAGCAAACAAAACTCCCACAGCAAGGCAAAACATCGAAAAGCCTAGCTTTGTTTGGTTGTGGTTGCTGAATATATTTTATTTTGTAATCTATGCTTCTACCAACTTTCCAAAGAGAGGCTTCGCTCGCTCTACTTTACGCTCACCCATTCTTTCATTCTACAGAATTTATTGAACACCTATATGGAGTCTAAATTCTTAAATTTTTAGTCAAAACCCTTTTCTGTTAGACGTTGACTGACTCCTTGTCTATGAAGCCACTTTACAAGCCCTTTACTTGAGCTAAATCGGGAGACGTTGCACAGGGTTCCAGTCCCAGACCCGCTGGGTCTCGGTCTCCTCATGCTCACAGAAGGAGCAGAATACGAGCTCGTAGCATTTCTGACTCAGGCCGATGCCCAATCTGATTTCTGGGGTTAGGGGGCCCGTCCCTTGAACTGCTGGTTAGAGAGGGGCTCTATGGGGGCGCGCAGACTCCAGACCTTGTTTAGGTTCCCGATTCAGGTTCTTCCACTGAGGAGTTCTGGGGCCCCGGCCAAGTTACTTAACTTCTTTCCTTAATCCCCTCCTCTCCAAAATGTTCACAAAAGCATCTGACTTCTGACATTGTTGAAAGAACTGCATGGGTGTTTGGGACACGAACTTCCATCTAGTAAGCACTCAACACATTTTGGACAATCAACAGTGTTCTCGGGACTGAACTGGGTCACAGCTAAATCTCCCTCTGTCTTCTGGTTCAAAAACGCTATCAGAATCCCATCTTTAAGATTTAATTTATTCCCAGGTTACACATGCAACTTCTGGGGCTGCATATGACCTTAAGCAAAAATTTGAACTTTTTAATATATCATTCATCTTTGTAGTCATCACTATTGCTAACATTTTAGAGTCCGAGCCATACCTTAGCCTTCCATAGTTAGAAAAAAATTATGATTTTATATGTAACAGTTTTCCAAAAGACTTTTTAGCCTCTTTGTCTCTTTGTTGTATTTATTATTTTAAATAGAACTTGGGAAATAATTTTAGAAGAATTTTAATTGTGCAGCTTCCTGAAAATTTTTCTACTAATATGATGCATATGCATTTCTCTCTTCAATAGAAGAAAGAATTTTGAAGTAACAAACTGATTTCTCTTGGAAAGATTTTATAGTTATGTTAAAATCCAAAAGGGAACGCATTTCCTTCTTCCATGATAACCACCTTTGTAAATCACATGAATAAATACCACCAGAAAGTCCAGTACATAAAAGATACATATTGAAATTAAGAAAAAATATAACCTAATGATAATATTGAAAAAATGAAGTTTAGCCATGTAGATCTCACTGTGGCCTAAGTGTTTGATGGCTCCAACAAAAAATGCAGCATTTTTTCTACATGATTTTTATGGCTCAATTCTGAGCAATTTTTTTAAAATTAAGAATTACCCTGAAACTTTTCTGTAAATTAAGAGACTCCTCTCACTGAAATAGAATCCCATTTCATCCTTCTAGGAGTTTTAGCTGTGATGTAGTGTATCAGTTGACTCAAATGTGAAACTACTCCTAGGTTGTAGAATTAATGTTTTAGAGCCCATCTCTGGAGTTTAATATTACTTACAAGTAGGAGGTATAAGTTGGTTGTGGCAAGAGGGAAAATTGGAAGTTTGTCTCTCAGGCTCTATATTGTTATTACATTTTGAATCATAGATTGAAAAATCTTTCACTTACAATCATATAAATACATTATGTATTGCTTTTTATGACTATTTTGGTTTTTTCTGGATTAGTGGTTTTACCATTGCATGTCTAAATTCTACTTATTCTTGCTTTTGTACCTATAGTTTTCTTACTCTGATGCTCCTTTTCTCTAACCCTTTCTGTCTCTCTCTCCTCTGGTGCTTTAATGCCTATTTAATGCTAACAAGAATACAATCATGTGTGTGTGTGTGTGTGTGTGTGTGTGTGTGTGTGTGTGGCACAGGACCTTTGCACTGAGATTAAAAAGTTATTTAAGGGCTGAGGATTTAGCTCAGTGGCACTGCACCTACCTCACAAGCACAAGGTCCTGAGTCCGATTTCCGGTAAAAAGTTATTTAAAAAATATTATTAGGGTCTCATGAACTCATTAAATTGTCCACATTGGGTTCAAACTTGCAATTCTGACTCAGCCTTCCAGAGTACTTGGATCACAGGCATGTGCTACTATACTCAGCTCAAAATTTTTTTCTTACAAGAAGTCTTCTTTAACCAATCTATTGCTTGTTTAGAAATCTGTATGATTTTTGTAACCCAAGTGACATGATTTCCAAAGGAAGAGGAAGTTATTACTCTCTCCCTTTATACAGTCTTGATGTCTGAAACAATGTTTTTATGGGATTCTGTTACATGCAATGAATATTACAACAAATAAATACAGTCATACAGTGAAGAATCTGTGATAATTCATTATATGTGTGGGAAGGCCATGTGAACAAACTTATTTGTTATGTTTCTATCATTTTGTTGTCCAAATTAATCTTTTCGTAAACTTACAGCCAATCTTTTTCTGAAATTATTGTTCTCTAAAAGCCTGGGAGTACTTACTGTGTATTCTAAATTTTCAATAGGGGTGAGAAATGTTGGTGATTTTAAAAAATCTGTATATCTATATTTGGAAATCTTATAAGCAGACAGTAATTACTAAGGAGACATAACCATTTAATAGGAGAATTAGGGTAATTAATAGTTTGATGTTTGTTATTACTTTTGGGCCATCTTCCCTGTTAGCTTTACAGTAAATATACTTTCCTTATAGAAAGTCTCTGGAAAACCAAAGTCAGTGTCATAAGCATTTACAGACAGGGGCAAGAGAGGACACATGGTTTTAAAGATCTGGCTGTGCCCATGAAGTAACTTGAACCTAGTTACAGAGGTACACATCCAAAATCATAGAGCATTGCAACTGCTTATCAACAGGTATTTATTATCTGTGCTAGATACATGCAAGACTTCGAGGTGAGGTTAAGAGCTTTTAAAATTATTATTCTAAAAGCAATATAAATATGACGAGAAATAAAATGGTATTTGGAAAAGGTTGCTGTAATACAGAGAAGTGTTTGGGACAGAGAGAGTGTATGTGGGTAGATCAGATGAGAATTTTGCAGAAAGTTCTAATGTGATATTAGCTTAGACTAGCATTGTGGCATACAGATAAGGGAGAAGTGGGAAGACTTGAGAAGTACTTCAAATAAAATAAATGAACACAGCTTCCTGATAGTTTGAATTGGCAACAGGGAAGAGGAGCCAAGAACAACTGTAAGCTTTTTTCCCCATGTAGTAGGGAAAGGTCTCATAACTTCCACAGGCCCAGCTTTGAGCTCGAGTTGCATGAGAGGTGCCCCAGAGATCTACAAAAACAGATGACAATGAAAATTTCTGGACCTTAGAGAAAAGATGCAGCCTGGGGGTGACATCTTGTGAATTAAATTTTTGTTCCTGGAAAGATGATTTAGGCATATTTTTTTCTTCTTTCTCTCACTGCACTAAAATTCCTGGCAATTCTATATGAAATAAACATAAGATGACTCTGAAAGGCTCAGAGAGGGCGATGTACTACTTCCGGATGTC